TGCCCGGCCGTCCTCCAAGTTTTTATTTGAAGCACATCCCAGCCAGAGTAACTCATCCTGTTGGGTTTTCATGAACGCTCATTCCCCCTTATATATGGCAGTTCCGGCCCCCCTCAACATATGGGTGGAAAGCTCTACAGCCTTATACATAGCTAACACTTCTAAGGGCCCAGGATTTTTTCATCCTAGTGATAGGTCCAATTTCCCTGACAGGGCTCAAGCAGCCTTAAAAGCAGCCGCTGCCATTCTCCGACAATTCACTATATCAGTCATCCCAATCATAGGTTCTGTGGGCACAATAACCTCCTTCTCTTCGCCTCTACTCCTTTGTATCTCCCGTCAAGTGTTCCCAGGATCACAAGATGTGGGACACATGGCTGGCTGCAACTATACGCTTCCCTTGGATCTAGAGTTCAAATATTCTAATTCCTACAGTATCACTACTGGCACCCCTACGTTTTGTGGAAATAAACATGAGCTCCTTGGAAACCCTATTTCAGTCACCTGTCCCTTAAGATTTACCAACCCAAGCCAAATAATTTCCCCACCAGAGGCCAAAACAAGCAATTACTGCTGGGGCAGACTTCCCTTTGCCCAGGATATTCCCCTCCTGGGACTTTGTTCCTCTCTCACAGGCGAAGGGTTAAAAAAAACCCATTGCCCCCTGCTTCCTGTCTGTGGAGCATGAGTTTTTCTTATTGCTGCGAGCCACCGGTTTGCCTTAGAGGAACCCCGTAATACGTCCTCGGCAAATTATATTCAGCTCCAACCGCTAGGAGTCGTCCATTTGTCCCAAACTCTCAAATCATGGGAACGAGAAATGAATTTAGACCAACCCCAGCCCTTATGAGATTTTCAGCTACAGGGGTGTATAGAACCCTGACGAGTTTTCTTTGTGTGTGGAAGATCCTTCTATATTTGCCTCCCACCAACTGGACAGGAACTTTTACTTTAGCCTACATAGTACCTCCTGTGACTTATTCCTTTTCAGAAGAGGCAGTAGCTGTGCCCATTCATGGTAAGCTTCAGCGGAGAGCAATCTCACTACTTCCTCTATTGGCTGGTTTAGGATTTACTACCACCCTAGGAACTGGAACCGCTGGGCTCACAGTATCCTTTTTTTTTTTTTTTTTTTTTTTTT